CAAAAGGGGCGTAGGCTTGATCACATCCATGGGTTTACCCTTACTGTTGACAAGTGACAGCGTGGGCCGTGCATGGATCGGCCATGCCCGCAGCATCATCCTGGCAGAAGTCTGGTAAAGTAGCGTCATATTCCCAGATTCGGACTTCCGCGGTCAATAGCTCACGGAAGTTACTTTGTTAAACAAAAGTAATTTGCTAAAATGATCACCTCTATGTTGATTTTTCAAATCCAATGCGCTGTTTTTAATGCAGAGAAATCCATTGAATCCAGTGCACTGCAAGCGCCGAGAAAAGCGCTTAGGGACCGTCAACCAATGTCAATACCAGCTTTGTAAACAAAAATAGCTTTTACTGAAGCCATGTACACGCACTAAACTCTCAGACACTATAAATAATGACCATATCTAACTGCTACAGACTTTGATTTCAACATTTGTGAGTTTTGTTAATGAATACATGTTTTTCTTTTTTTCTTTTACAGTAAATGGTCTTTACTGTAACATACATAAATAATGTATGTTTGTGTAAGCCCTCAGTCGTACAGGGATTAGTCAAAGCAAAGGAAGGTTTCTCACCCATCATCTGTACTTCTTAGCAAGTTTTCCCGACGTTTCGTCCCCAGGTTGAGGACGAAACGTCGGGAAAACTTGCTAAGAAGTACAGATGATGGGTGAGAAACCTTCCTTTGCTTATACATAAATAATGTATGTTACAGCGTTTGTCTTTTTATATGTTTTATTACTAATAAGAATGCATGAAGTCCTTAACCAGCCAAAGAGTTCCACCTATTTATGACATTTATTTTTTGGCTAAGAATTTTTTTGATTTTTATATGTAGCCAATAAATTTATATGTAGCCAATAAATTACATTCTAAAAACTGTGATTATGAAATTCCATGATTCCTGTGTAGATTGAAATTAGGACTAAAAAGTGCTCAACCCGATCCACCCAAAGGTTGTCCCTTATTTTTTTGTTCTCGAGTTGGCAACCCTAATTTCATATGAAGTAGATATACTGTACTTAGGTACAGAACACACACGTACGCACTTAGACACACACACGTACGCACATAGACACACACGTACGCACTTAGACACCGGCCCCGGGGGGTCGCAAGCTCATAATTTCTATCAAACCCCCTTCGAATAGTACTCAAGCTAAGTATGCTGGGGTTCATTCATGCATCTTGACAATAAATATTCTAACGCAATCTTGGTCTTGAGTCTTTCCACATTGAATTACCAATATGTATTTTTCCATTTTTGACAAGTGAAAAAAGCCTTGTGTTTAGTTGCGCAACGCGTGGATCACCGCAAGGTCCTTACGTAGCCTGCCGCGCACCCTCAAAAATGTCTAACTCCTCAAGCCGCGCCGCAGAGAAGCTCCACTGTGATTGGTCTGTGTGTGATTAATTTCTGGGAAGCATGGAGCGGCTGCAGGGAGCATGGACGAGCAGCAACGAACCGAAGGAAAAGTAGTTTGGGCTCATGACAGAGCCTGATATACGCGGAGACTGTGGACTAGAGTTCTGTTGCATATCTAACATATATATTATAAATATTATAAACTGCAGTGCAGTCGTTTGTTTTGCACTGTTCCGATAGAACAGTGCAAAACAAACGACGTTTTTGCGTTTGTCTTTGTTTGAATCGTAGCTTATTGCGTCTGTTGCATTCCTCCTGCACTTGTAAATTGTTCATGTTTGGTCTCAGATATTTGACTGATGAAACAATGAGTCCATAGAACTATCACATAAACCTACACTAGAAACACATGTAATGATCTCAAACAGCTCGGTTTGCTCATGTTTTTGTTCTGAAGAGGAGAAAGCAGCAGCGTAAATGGGACCGCTTTGGTTTCCCAGGCAACTCCTGTGAGACCTCCATCATGTGGTTGGTTGTGGGATTACAACATTCTCTTCAAAACTCCGCAAGGGGAACGCGCGAGTGTACCACCAACTGTGCTTGCGTAGGACCACCGCAACCGCTAACGTAAGCCCCGCCGCACGAGTGTACACAGGCCTAAAGAGATCTCCCTCACTCGGCCGTTCAGCGCCCAGCTCAAAGCTCAAATACTGAGTCTTTCTTACAAGTATGCAGACGATAACACATGAATGCAGCATGTTCAGGTCTGATCCACCACATTTTAGTTTTTCAAGTTGTGCAAAAATCTTTAAAGTATTATAAGATATGATTCGATACTTGCCTTAGGAGAAATTCATCTTGGGACAGGGGTTCACATGCTTTACACCAATACATTTGCACTCACCACAGTAGACATTTAACAGACCATAATAGACACGGGCAAGAGCATCATCAGAGACCTCTGGGACCAAAGAAAAGACAGTTAATAACAGGGCATCAAAACAGAGCACCACAAAATCTTGCACTTCAGAAAACCTAAAGTGAAAGTGCAATACTGTATTTTATTGCACTTACCCTAAGCCTAAAGTGCTGTCTTTGTTGCACTTACCATAAGCTTAAAGTGCAGTTTTTATTCCATGTTTCCAACTTCTAAAGTGCCTAAAGCCCATGCACCTGAGTTGCTTCCAGTGTTGTCAAACCTAGTTCCTGCTCGAGCTCTCAGAGTTTATGAAATTCATTGCTAATGGTATTGATTTGCATTTGGGAACTCTACATCTTCTCCCTGATGGCAGCATTTCCAACTGACTGTGAAATGGGGGTAGTTACATACCCCAGCTTTAACATTCAATTACAAATATAACTTTATTGCAGAGGAAACTTGTTTAGAGGCTCATGTTGGACCACAGCTTGACACTGCTTTATAGTACTTAGCAGGTTCAGTATTTGTATCCATGAGGAAATACAGTCAGTTAAAGTGAGAACAACTCTAAAATATTAAACAATATTCACTTTAAATTCTTTAATATCAATTCTAATCCTTTAATGCATGCTAGTTCTTCAGACACTTTTTTTCCAATTAGTGTTATGTTGGTTCACGGAGCTAGAAGTCAAACACCTTCGTGAATGCTCTGGATGTTTTCCACTTTTCAAATCCAGACTCAAAACCCATCTGTTCAGACTGTCCAGCCCCACCTAACACACACACACCCACCATCCCATATTGCACTACTGTTTTATTCTCCAGTTTTTATTGTTTTTATTATGCCTGTACAGTGTCCTTGGGTGTTTTGAAAGGTGCTTTTAAATCAAATGTATTATTGTTAGCTAAGTTTTGCTCGCTAATAAGATATGAGATATAAACCTATGTATCGCTATAAATAAACATTTTACTTGCCTCCTCAAACTGTGTGCTGGTAAGATAAAGTCAAACTTAGACCCAAAGTGTATTACTGATTTCAAATGAATTAAAGTATTATAATTTCTAAGTGTTTTTGTTGCGTTTGATGACTGAGCTGTCCATGGTAGCAGCGGCAGACTGCAGAGGCCTACCAGCAGGGGGAGCCATTATCCTAACATCAAATGTGCAAGGAATCAAGGATATTTAGAAACACTGCGGCTCGTACATGCGAGATGAGCACGCGCATCTGCCTCTTGTTGCTAGGTGGCGTTGCTAGGGCCAGTGCATCTTTTGAATCACTGCATCCGTGCAAAACTTTGGCTGAGACACAAACTCATTTTGGCAAACTTCACTCGACAATTTCTTCAACCAGGAGACATCACTGCAGACCATTTCCACCCAGACTGCTGCTGACCCACTCCTGACCACAACTACCAGACTTTTCTGAGGGAAAAACGTGAGCTTTTCCACTTTCCCTGTTCACCTTAGTCCCTCTGGGTTTGGCCTGTGTCACTCACACACAGACAGTAGCCAAATGGCAACAAAGATCACTTTGATCCGTGTCTAAAGCAGGTTTACAGAGAGTAGAATAATCATAATAAGTGTAAACAATGAAACGTCCTCAAGCTTCATGAAACCTGTGCCTTAAACATGTTGAGGATGAGTCTAAAGTGACAAACCCAGACCACAGGTTTCTGCTTCATAAAAACGTCTTCATCAGCCGCAGCAGTGATGTATCTACTGTTGTCTCTGATTACATTTCAGCCAGTTCAGTTCAACAGTTATTCTGTACCTGGAGATTATGATCCATGTAATTTTGAATAAGTCTGTTATTTAGTAGATAGACTAACCCTGGCAGACCTGCCATATTCAGTGCAAATGGTTCTTGAACATCAAGAAGCGTGACTTTCAAAGCACAAAGTCTCAAATACATTCTTCTAACTCGTCCCTCGCTCTTAAACACTTTGGTTCTTTCACACGTCTGTGTTTTAGACTAAAGTGAATACGAGAGGACCATCCTCTCTCAGCCAATCAGCACAAAGCATCAAATAACAACTCACACTGAGCTCTTTCTAAACAAAAGATGAAATGTTCACAAATCATTTACTTTGACAAGACTTTATCTGTTGAGACAAACACAATTTAACATTCATGACAAAAGAAAACAAATCTATTTGAAACTTGACTCTACTGCTTTACTCTAATCAACTTTTATGAACCACGTCAAACACAGACCTGCAGTGGTTTTTAGATCCATCCACGCTGGTATCCTGAACCTCTGGCACAAACATAAAGCTCTCAGTCCTGTAACAGTATGATGTCATAGTAGCACTAAGACAGCGAGCTCGTGTGATCGGGATCGACAATGACCAAGACCAAATACATGATCAACTCATCACATTTTTCATTGGTTTAAACTTCTCCAAAAACACGATTCTAGGCCAAAAATGTGAACGTTTTAGTCCGACTGGACTTTTAGTTTATACCTTTAGTCCTTCTCAGGGGAAGCAAAAGTATAGTCTTCTGTACTGTACTTAACCCTAACCCTAACCCTAAACCCCTAGAGTGAGGTGGAGTCGTTATTGATGAACTCGTCACATTTTCATGACTTTAACATTCCCCAAAACACGATGAATGACCACAAATAATGTGTTTCCTCTTGATCTTGAAACCTTCAAAAGAAGCATGTTTGACATGTTTCTCCTCCACCGATCATCCTGCTCCTCCTCCATCAGGCCTCCACACCTCCTGCTCCTCCTCCATCAGGCCTCCACACCTCCTGCTCCTCCTCCATCAGGCCTCCACACCTCCTGCTGAGGACTCCATCAGGCCTCCACACCTCCTGCTCCTCCTCCATCAGGCCTCCACACCTCCTGCTCCTCCTCCATCAGGCCTCCACACCTCCTGCTCCTCCTCCATCAGGCCTCCACACCTCCTGCTCCTCCTCCATCAGGCCTCCATACCTCCTGCTCCTCCTCCATCAGGCCTCCACACCTCCTGCTGAGGACTCCATCAGGCCTCCACACCTCCTGCTGAGGACTCCATCAGGCCTCCACACCTCCTGCTCCTCCTCCATCAGGCCTCCACACCTCCTGCTGAGGACTCCATCAGGCCTCCACACCTCCTGCTCATCCTCCATCAGGCCTCCACACCTCCTGCTGAGGACTCCATCAGGCCTCCACACCTCCTGCTGAGGACTCCATCAGGCCTCCACACCTCCTGCTGAGGACTCTGCTTTTAAGCTAAGTCTCTCGCTCACACGATGCCTGGCAGCTCTGCCAAGTTTCCTCGTTCTGGGAGGGTCTCTCTCTACTCTTCTTCTTCTCTCCTCCCTCGCCCCTCTGCTCCTCCTCTTCCGCGCCTCTCTGCTCCTCCTGCTTCGCGCCCCTCTGCTCCTCCTGCTAAGCGCTCTAAGCTTTCCTCTGCCTCTTCTTGTAAGCAACGTAAGCTTACCTCTGTTCCTCTCGCTTGGCGCTTCTCTGCTCCTCCTGCTTCGCGCCCCTCTTCTCCTCCTGCTAAGCTTTCCTCTGCTCCTCCTCTTCCGCGCCCCTCTGCTCCTCCTGCTAAGCTTTCCTCTGCTCCTCCTCTTCCGCGCCCCTCTGCTCCTCCTGCTAAGCTTTCCTCTGCTCCTCCTCTTCCGCGCCCCTCTGCTCCTCCTGCTAAGCTTTCCTCTGCTCCTCCTCTTCCGCGCCCCTCTGCTCCTCCTGCTAAGCTCTCCTCTCTCCTCCTCTTCCGCGCCCCTCTGCTCCTCCTGCTAAGCTTTCCTCTGCTCCTCCTCGCTAAGCTCTCCTCTGCCTCCTCTCTCCTCTCCGCGCCCCTCTGCTCCTCCTGCTAAGCTTTCCTCTGCTCCTCCTGCTAAGCTCTCCTCTGCTCCTCCTCTTCCGCGCCCCTCTGCTCCTCCTGCTAAGCTTTCCTCTGCTCCTCCTGCTAAGCTCTCCTCTGCTCCTCCTCTTCCGCGCCTCTCTGCTCCTCCTGCTAAGCTTTCCTTTTCTCTTTCTGCTTGGTCCCTTCTTCTCCTCCTGCTAAGCCTTCCTCTGCTCCTCACTTTCGTAAGCGCAAACGAAAGTCTTCTCCTGCTCCTCCTTGTCCTCCTCCTGCTGACGCTGCTAGCCTCTCACGCATTAAGCTAGCCCCTGTTGTCTCGCAGATGGAGCCTGCCCCGCTGTTCCCTGGACCTGTCCCGGACTGGGTGGTGCAGATGGAGGCGTACCTGCAGGAGCGGGAGCTGCCCTGGAAGGAGCAGAGAAGGTCATGTGAGCCGCAGAGGCCTATTCCACCAATAACACACAAGTACTCCTTCTATTTTTAAGAACTGATCCTTTCTGTCTTTTGTTTCTTTGGAGGAGCAGGAGCAGAGCTGGGATCCTCAGGAGCTGTGTCTTCGTGAAGGGTTAAGTTTCACTTTGTAAAAACTTTGAATATTTTTTGGATCCATGTTTGATCCCCTTTGAAAAAAAAAAAAAAAAAAAAAAAAAAAAAAAATATATATATATATATATATATATATATATATATATATATATATATATGTTATAAGTTAAGTTTGTCATTGTTCTTGTGTTGTACATTTTTCGGATCCTGGTTTGATCCCCTTTAAAAAGACAAATGTCTTTCTAAGATTGTGTGTGGATTGTTGTGTGGTGCTTAGCTTCTTTTGCAGGTGTCTTTGCTGTTCAGGGAAACAAGGTGAGTTTTGATGAATTAAAGTCACATTACTTTAAGGAGTCACTCATTTCTTTATTGTTTCTGAGCTTCTTTAGACGGAAAAGAGGAAGTGTAAAAGACTGAAAATCACTCAAACAAAGAATATACAGCACAGGTACAGAAGTCAATTCTATCTAGATTTATCTAAGTCTTACCTTGAAGACAGGAAGTACTTTGTGGAGATTGGAAACTGTGTCTCAGATCATATGGCCCTGACCTGTGGAGTACCACAGGGGTCGATCCTGGGACCTCTTCTTTTCAATCTCTACATGCTGCCGTTAGGTCAGTTAATACGCAACGAAGTTTCCTATCACAATTATGCAGACGACACTCAGATCTATGTCTCACTGACTGCAGGAGAACATGGACCAGTGGACTCACTCCTTCACTGTATCCAACAGATCAGTGAGTGGATGCAAAACAACTTCCTTCAGCTAAACGCAGACAAAACTGAAATGATTGTCTTTGGTCCCCAGAAACAAAGAGAGAGCGTCATCTGTCACCTACAGTCTCTCTCCCTAAAACCTTCAAACAAGGTCAGAAATCTAGGGGTAATACTGGACTCAGACTTAAATTTTAATAGCCACATCAAATCAGTAACATCAGCAGCTTTTTACCATCTAAAAAACATTTCCAGGATCAAAAACATAGTGTCTAAAGCAGACTTGGAGATTCTTATCCATGCATTTGTCTCCAGTAGGTTAGACTACTGCAATGGCCTGCTCACAGGTCTGTCCAAACAGGCTGTAAAACAGCTGCAGTACATTCAAAATGCAGCAGCTCGAGTCCTGACTAGAACCAGGAAGTACGACCACATTAGTCCTGACTAGAACCAGGAAGTACGACCACATTAGTCCTGACCAGAACCAGGAAGTACGACTATATTAGTCCTTGTCACTCCCGGATTCGTCCCGGAAACCGGATTCGTCCGGAAGTTCAGTTTGCGCATGTCAAAAAGTTTAATATGTCCTTAAGTGGAGACTGGTTAAGTTTAGGCGTCTGATTAAGATGGTTAAGGTTAGGGTTAAGGGTTGGGGTTATTTTATGGGAATGGCTGGATAAGTTTAGGCATGAATAGGTAGTTTGTTTTATTTACTTCCGCTTCCGTCCAGATTCCGTGACGTAATCTACTGCTGCGTATGCTCATTGGATCAAACTGAACTTCCGGACGAATCCGGTTTCCGGGACGAATACGGGAGTGACAGTCCTGACTAGAACCAGGAAGTACGACCACATTAGTCCTGACTAGAACCAGGAAGTACGACCACATTAGTCCTGACTAGAACCAGGAAGTACGACCACATTAGTCCTGACTAGAACCAGGAGGTACGACCACATTAGTCCAGTCCTCAGGTCTCCGCACTGGCTTCCTGTGGCTCAGAGAATAGACTTTAAAACAGCTCTGCTTGTTACAAGTCTGTCCATGGCCTCGCACCAAAATATATTAGTGACATGTTAGTCCCATATGAACCAGCCCGGACTCTGAGGAGCACAGGGACTGGACTCCTGCTGGGACTCTGAGGAGCACAGAGACTGGACTCCTGCTGGGATTCTGAGGAGCACAGGGACTGGCCTCCTGCTGGGACTCTGAGGAGCACAGGGACTGGCCTCCTGCTGGGACTCTGAGGAGCACAGGGACTGGACTCCTGTTAGTGCCCAGAGTCAGAACTAAACATGGGGAGGCTGCTTTTCAGATTCATGCTGCTAAAATCTGGAACAATCTTCCTGAAGATGTGAGACAGGCCTCCTCTCTGACAATGTTTAAAACCAGGTTAAATACTGTTCTGTTTAGCTGTGCTACAACTGAGGGATTTTATGTTTTATTCTTATCTTCCTTTTTAATGTTCTGGTGCTATGAGACTTGGGTGGCATCTCTGACTGCCACCCCCCTGACCCAGAAATGGATTAAAGGGTAGAAAATGGATGGATGGATTATTTATGATTTTAATGCTTTCTTGTTTTGTTCAGCACTTTGAGTTGCCTTGTGTATGAATTGTGCTATACAAATAAACTTGCCTTGCCTTATCTGTACATGGAGTCCAGGGGAGGAAGTGAATGTGTTTTGTTCCTGTGAGGGAGGAGGAGGAGGAGGAGGAGGAGGAGGAGGAGGAGGAGGAGGAGGAGCACTTTTTGGTTTGTCTTTGCTCACACTTCATTACAGGAAGAACCATCTTAAACGTCTTTCTAACTGGTTTATGTTCAACTGTGTTCAATATAAACCACTTTTATGCAGACGACTGTCACTCAAACCCACGGTTCGTCCACATCTTGTTTTGTCTGATTGAGGGAAACAAAGGTGATGGTGTTTGGCAACACTGAGCCCTCATCGACATGGGCCACTTTCGGGATTTTATATTTGACAAACAGGTGAACTGTTTGAACTCTGGCTTTTATCAGGTTTTATCCAAGGGGAAACCTTTACATTGTTTTTAACGTGTGATGCACACTTTCCTCTTCTCTGGCTGAGACTATTGTTTGAATGGATTGGATCTTCGTTATGTGCTGAAAGAACATAAGAGATTTGCTGAAAGAGATTTGGATATGACCAACAAATGCAACATCATGGAAGGGTTATCAACCTTGTAACTTAAATGTGTTTTGATTCTGATTGTCCTATGAATCCTTGTTTGTTTCATCAGAAGGTCAAGGTTTGCAGCGATACCTTTTGTCATTGTTCCGTTGAATGAACGATGGTGGACCATGTGACGGACAAAACCTTTCAAATGGACTCGTCCTCCTGCCCTGCATGTGCGCCACACAGGGCTGTTGATGGAAACAGAAAACTATTGTTTTAATCAGCCTTCAAGGTAAAAAGAAAATGACCTTTTAACGTAAATGTGTTTATTAAATAACCACAGCATGTGTGTGCAGGACGACAGAATCTGCTTACTTTGAGAGAGTTTTTGTTTGCGGTGACCAGCACGTGGCGGCAGCTGTAAAAGGAATCCACCCTAAAAAAGTCATGTCCTGTATCAACTAAAAGTTTGCAGGAAGGCGGCCTCGAGGTTCACAGGCACAGTATACTTCTCAAGTCCCTCTCAAGGTCCTCTCAAAGGTTCATGTTTATAGCTTTCATTTCTATCTGTACATTACCCCAGAGCTCTTCATCAGTTCCCATTTGCCCCTTACCTGCAATAGGTCCTGCATGAACATGATCACCTGGAGAGGCATGTCTCAGTCCAACAAAAGCCCAGGATGTAAATGATGAGGTAATTGTTTCTTTACTGAGTAAATGCCATGTATTCAGCCCTCTTCCAAATATGTACCATCCTTTCACAGATGGAATGAGAAGAGAAAATCAAGCTGGGTCCACTTTGGGGGAGGAACTGTCTCTTTTCTCTCCTCGCACTCCTCACGTCCAAATACATGTGAAAGATAATCTCTAGGACCAATCGATCTCTGGTGTTGTGCAGAAATCATGTCTAACCTGTGTTATCTCTTGGTCGCTCGAATGGACATGAACTGAACCATCTAAAGCCTCAACTGTGGCAAAGATCAGTCAGATGTGCAAAGTTCACAATTTTAGAGGGAATATGAATGAAATTGTAAAATGAGGGACCATTTAGGAAGATATACAACATCTAGACTTCTGGAATTGAAAGTGAAAGTGGAGCAACTCTAGTGGAGCAACACTCACAGTCCCAGATGGAGAGACCCCAGCGATAAAGGAGAGAAGCCTTTACCAGAGAGCAGGTATCTTATGTGGAACACAGATGTGTTTACGGCAAATATAGTTGTGCCAAATGCTGTTGAATGCACTGAATTCATTCTTTTCTCTCAACAGAGGCACTCAACAAAACCCTGGAACAAAAGTCCACCCCCTCCAGAAGACCAGATGCTGAAGCTGTCTTCAGAAAGATCAGTCAGATCTGAGTAAAATCAACGTACGCAAAAGGCCGAATGCAGACTGAACACAGGTGTGAACTGAAAGGTTGTGCTGATGAACTCTTCACATGTTTAACTCATCTCTGCAGCTGTGGTCCCAAAGACACCATCATCATTCCAGCACCAAAGAAGTCCCACCCTCCAACTTCAAGGATTACAGCCCAGTCGCACTCACTCGTATGGACCACATCAAGTCTGTTCTCCCACCAACCCTGGACCCAGACCAGTTTGACCAGTGCTTATCGGAGAAATGACTCAACTGGAGATGCCTTCTGTGCTTCATACAGCCCTCACTCACCTTGAAACTAAAGACTGTTAGAATGCTCTTTGAAGACTTCAGCTCAGCATTCATCACTAGAATCCCCTTTCTGATGGGAGACCAGCAGCTGTACGGAAAGTCCTCCAGAACCATCAGACTGAGCAAAGGGACTCCCCAAGGCTGTGTTCTGAGCCCACTCTCATAACAGCCCTTCAAAGTAATGCCCTCAGGAGGAGACTGGGAAATCCACGGCACAGGTCCAGTTGACTGAATAAGCGTTTTGTCTAGGGCTGAAACAACTAATCAATTAATCGACGACTAAGCGATTATTGAAATAGTCGACAACTATTTTAGTAATCGATTAATCGTTTTCTGGTTCACACGGACTCAAACAGAGCAAAAATGACATGAAAATGTAGTATTTTTGATTAAAACAGACTTTGTTTTTATAATTTCATGAATATCTGTCTGTCTCATCCAATCAGAGCAGAATTAGCACAAAGAGCCTGTTACAAACATTTACTTTAAGTTTACGCCATCAATACGTCCTCGAGTGTTGCCACTTTAGCTTTTTGTGATGAAAAAATATTTTTTTTCTACACAATTCACAGCCAAGCGATTACTCGATTAAACGTAAAAATAATCGATAGATTAATCGATTACAAAATAATCGTTAGTTGCAGCTCTAGTTTTATCCACAAGGCGATCAGGAAGCTGGACTCCCTTCTTTACTTCACTCCCCACCCCCACTCTATCATCAAGGATGACAAACATGACAATACATCTTTGAGTCTCTTAATACTTGTATGTTAGTCTCTTCATAACAGTGTGGTCAGTGTTTTAGATCAAAAAACATTGAGCAAACATTATCCCCAATCATAAAACACACTTTTTTTACCTTCCAACATAAAAACAAAAGAGAAAGCCTTTATTATTTCAAACAGGGCCTAGTGTCAATAAAATATGGGTTAAATACATCAAGAGACTGTAAAACTATCAGCTTCCATTTATTTGGATCAATGCATGAACCTGCTTTCAGCTTTAAGTGCATAAATAAACATTTGTTTGGGAATCTGTAAAAATAACATCATGTGAGCTTGATAATCTAAAGAGACACATTTCAAACACTCAGAGGTACAGGCCACATTAAAGACACTTTAGAGTCCTTTGTTCACTGAAGAACGTTGATTTATTTCCATTTTCATAACTATAAATGTCCTTTTTAACCGTTTAGTTGTAAACATAAATGTACAAGCGGCTTCTTTCATCTTGATCTGTTTTTTAACCATTATATTGGAAACACGTCTCAGTTGCTTTCTTCTCTCTATGTAAACAAGTCATAGATTTACACTAGGTGCAATATTTTCTGTTTGGATTAAGAAAAAATGGAAAAGGAATCATGGTGAAGAATACACTTTGTTTTTATGTTAAACCTTAGTACTTCTCCTCTGATCCGTGGAACTATCAACATGAACTATTTCTCAACAGTAGGAAAGGACAAGTCATTAAAAAAAAATAGACCAGACAAACAAGAGAAGGTGATCGGCCGCAGCCTTCCATCGCTGCAGGACCTGTACGTCGCCCGAGCTCGAGGCCGGGCTGGTCGTATCACAGCCGACCCCTCTCACCCTGCACATGGACTATTCCAACCACTCCCCTCAGGCAGGAGGCTGCGGTCCATCAGGACTAGAACCTCCCGCCACAAGAACAGTTTCTTCCCCTCTGCTGTTGGACTCTTGAACACTTCTTAACCTGTCCCCCGCCCTCTAGAAGTCACCTTACTGCCCTTTATAAAGTCTTCTCCGGGAGCCCCGGAGAAGATGGCTGCCGCTGATGTTTGTGCTGAACAGCTTATGCCAATCTAACAAATATCACAAAGAGATATCGACATCCAACTATTTGCCTAAAGTCCTCAGATATGCACTGAAGTAATGCTTCATGGCACTGGATCATTTTTGCTATTATCTTCATTTTTAGCAAGTTTTATGGTCTGTGCTTGACAAAGGCCTACTGGATCACCAGGAGGCCCCTACCACCACTTCAATGGCTAATACTATGGCAAATGATATGGAAGAAGTTAAGAAGTCACTAAACTTTATGTCAGGTGAGCTGACTAAAGTGGTAACACAACAGAATGATTTACTGAAACTGATCGAGGAAGTACATAATCTGAAAGAAGTGATTAAAGAGAAAGACAAGAAGATCGAAGAGCTGGAAAACAGAGTGGACCAGCTGGAACAATACACAAGAATGGAGGATGTGGTGATTTCTGGACTGGAGACTACACATCGCACATATGCACGGGCCGCTGCTAATGTCAATGAAGGAGAGGACGCACCACCAGGTGAACTGCTGACACTTGAACAACAAGTAACTCACTTTTTCAATAGAAATGGGATCACTATTGACAGTACAACAATAGCAGCATGTCACACAATTCCTCAAAAACAGTCAAAAAAACCAAGTATAATCATTCGATTTGCAAATAGAAAGGTTGCAAGAAAGCTCAAGGGTACTGGTGTATATGTTAACGAACATCTTACGAAGAGGAATGCTGAAATTGCTTGGCAAGCAAGAATGTTGAAGAAGAAAAGAAAAATACAGGATACATGGACGAGAAACTGCAAAATAATGATCAAACTCAACGGGCCACCAGAGCAGGCCAAAGTTGTGACAATCAAACATGTCTCGGAGCTGGAGAAGTACAAATGAAATTGAAACTTATAGTAACAAGGGGAAAAGGCAAAGGTATTCTTTCTCCCAAGTTTTTGACTTGATTAGTATTTTGTTTCTTGTCATTTATGGATAAAAAGTATTGCATAGAAACAGGAAAAAACAATTACTTTAAAAGTTTTGATGACAAAGAATATAAATCTAATGATAGAGGAAATGATATTGATCCAGAGACTCATCTCTGCAGTAGCACTGAGTTGGACTGTGAATATTATACAGAGGAGGACTTTAACATGAGTATGCAGGGATTCTCACTCATACATTTCAATAGCCGGAGTCTTTATAGAAACTTTTCCAAAATTAAGGACCATTTACAAAAGTTTGATGACTTTTCTGTAGTTGCAGTCTCAGAGACTTGGATAAAGGACGGAAAAGTATTTTTGGACAAATTAGACGGCTATGAAATGTTTTCACAGAACAGACTCTATAAAAGAGGGGGTGGGGTTGCTCTGTTTGTTAGAACGGGCTTAGAATGCAGGGTAATCGAAAATATGACTTTTTCTATTGAGAACCTGATGGAGTGCTTAACTATTGAAATTAAAGCCAGAACAACAAAAAACATAATAATAACTTGTATTTATTGCTCTCCTGGTTCTTGTATAGATCAGTTTAATAAAATGATTTCTGAGTTGTTTGAGCAAAAGGTTAACAAGTTGACTTTGATTTGTGGTGACTTTAACATTGATTTGTTAAAGTCCAATGAGCACTCACAAACTACAGAATTCATTAATACAATGTTTAGTTTGAGCTTCTACCCGCTAATATTGAGGCCAAGCAGGATAACAAAAGATAGTTGTACATTGATTGATAATATATTCTTAAATCAAACTGGTATAAAGACAAAAAGTGGACTCTTGTTAACAGATATTACTGATCACTTGCCTGTTTTTGTTGTGATGGAAATGTTTCATTACAATAAAACACCTCAATATTTGTTCGATATTGTTCACAGACACAAAACACCTATGCTATTGAAGCCTTGAAATTTGCTCTATTGAAAGGAATCTTTGGAAATTTTCCTATAATGAGCTCTTAAATTATGACGGTCTGCGTGGCAAAAATAATAACCAGAAGACAACATCTATTTTATTTTATTTTGGGGAAATGTTAAAACATGAATACAATAATGCATTCAGTTTAGAAATAATTATTTCATATAATAACAAAAGATTATAAATTTAACATTAATTTTTTTTTTTTTTTTTTTATGACCTCCCGCGGCCCCCCTGCAGTACCCTCGCGGCCCACCAGCCGCGGACCCCACTTGGGAGACCTGCTATAATGCATCCAAAACTTATATTTATAATAAGCATTGCCCTCCAAAATGTAAGCAAAAATGTAAAAAAGGATCTAAACCGTGGATGTTAAAAAGTTTGGAGAAGGCTTGTAAAAAGAAGAATAAATTATACAAAGAGTTTATGAAAAATCCTACAAAAGAAAAAGAGAAACTGTACAAAGAATATAAAAATAAATTAACAGTTATAATAAGAAGAAGCAAACAAGATTATTATGTTAACTTACTACAGAAATATAAAAAGGATATTAAGGCCACATGGATGGTAATCAATAAAGTAATAGAAAACAAAAAAGAGATGATTTTACCTACAAGCATTAAAAATGCAAATACAACAATTGATGACAAAAAAGAAATTACAAATGCTTTCAATCAATTTTTTGTTACAGTAGGTCCTAAATTAGCCAATCAGTTACCTACTGTTGGAAATATTGAGTTTCCTACTTCAAATAGCAACACAATGTTCCTAAATGGCGTATAGTCAAAGTGATGTTTTAGAAGCAGTATATCAATTTAAAAGTAAGAATTCCACAGATTGTCATGGTATTGATATGTCGCTCATCAAAGATGTCATCCACTGTATTGTTGAACCTTTAACCTATATTTGCAACAAATCTTTTTCAACTGGTATTGTTCCTGATCAAATGAAAATGGCTAAAGTGATTCCAATTTACAAAAGTGGAAATAAACAACTTTTATCTAATTATAGACCAATTTCACTGTTGCCACAATTCTCAAAAATATTAGAGAAATTGTTTGAAATTAGACTTGATGTTTTTATCACCAAATATGATTTATTGAATGACCATCAATATGGCTTTAGAAGCAATCATTCAACATCCCTAGCAGTGATGGAACTTGTAGAACATGTTGCGACAGCTGTTGATCAAAAGCTCTATACAGTGGGTGTATTTGTTGATTTGAGTAAAGCATTTGATACAATTGACCATGCACAATTGTTGAAAAAG